CCCAGACGAGCCCCCAGGTAATGTTGCAGGATTCTCGCTCAGAGAGTCGTGACACCGAGACTTTTCTTTCCAGGAAGCAACTTTATTTTGCCGGCACCGCTCAGTTGGGTTCGTACCCAAAAGAACTGAGCGGCCCACTTCATATGGCATAGGTTTTTTTTTTTTTTCATTTTCTATTTCTTCGTCTCCCATATATGGTAATACACATAAACATGCAGTCTGATTAAGTTGTTTCAGTTTACAGGAACATGAGGGATGTAGGCAGCTGGACTCATATCTAGGTGACCTTGAAGTCTTCTCTCTTCTTCATTTTTTTCTTTCTCCGTAGGGAGGGGTTCCTACCACACTACTACACTGTGACTAAGATCTATACTCTGTCTCCTTCATACTTGTGTCCACCAGGTTCTTCCAAGCACCATGATTAAACATTAAAATGTTCCAAGAATGAGTGAATGAATGGATGAATGAACTGTAATCAACCTGTTATCTATTTTGCAGCTAGAAAATTGATGTATGTGAATAATTTCTTAGTGACAAAAAAGCTTAATGTTATGTTTTTAAATCTTGATATGGAATACACACACACATACATTCACAAAGTATGTAAAATTCATGACTTACAAAACTAGTATTTTAAGATATTTTTGTTTGTTTATTTTTGAGAGAGAGGGAGAGAAATCTAGTGCAAGCAGAGGGAGGGACAGAGAGAGACGGATACACAGAACAGAACCCAATGCAGGCCTTGAACTCACAAACCGTGAACTCATGACCTAAGATAACTAAGATAAAGTTGGACACTTAACCAAATGAGCCACTCAGGCACCCAAGATTTTTATGTTCTTTAAAAGAGCTTGCTTTAAGTTCAGTTCCAAATAAAAGAAGCTAGTCAAAGTAGTGAGAACGAAGTGTACCTATATCCCTGCCAAAAATGCATTCAGTTAGATTCTTGCCTAATGCCTAATGCTAACAATCTGACTATCCTTCATTATATTCAGCTGTTGATATAATAGGTTCATGTCATTCATTTTGTTCTCTTTTGTTGTTGTTGCCTTTCCTAGCATGGAATTGAGGACACAGCTGCAGAATGCAGGAGACTGGGTGCGAAGGCTCACGCGTTTGTGGTAGACTGCAGTAATCGAGAAGATATTTACAGCTCTGCGAAGAAGGTGAAATTTTACATTTGGTTAGGATTACATCATGTCAGAGCTGGGAAGGATTCTGGCGATGACCTCGTCACGATGCAAAGTAGCAGAAGTTTTGTGACTTGCCCAAGGTTGGGTAGCCAACTAGTGGCAGACTCAGAACTATAATCTAGAATTGAGGCTCCCAGATTTTAGTGTGTTCTGGAATCTTCCAGAGAGCTTGTTAAAAAATAAACACCCCAATGGTTTCTTTCAGTGGATCAAGGGCTGGGCTCAGGAATCTGCATGTTTAGTACCTTCCACACCCACACCTTACCAATCTAATTCTGCTACAGGTAAATTCTTGGATGATGTTGTGAATCATGGCAGGGTCTTCTGACAACCAAAGAACTGCATTAGGGAGTTAGGATAAATTTAACTGCTTATCAGGCTTTGATCATAGATTTGTTTCTATAAAGCATTATTTGTCTCTTCTGTTTATAACCGAGATGTGCTATATATATATATGTATAATATATGTACATCATATATATAATGGAGTTTCACTCTGAACACATTTATACATATACTCGTTAACTAAATACTACAGTAGTAAGAAGATCAGTAGAATTACCTGGGCAAATTCCTTAAAACACACATTCTTGGACCTCATCCCCGGATGATCTGATTTCAACACAGTATAAAGATTCTGATTCAGCCACCCTTGAGAACCTCTTTGTTTAGGGAATTTTAGATTTGAGGACATTTTTAACTACTGTTCTTGAATTGTAATCTTTTATTTCAAACTGATGCTTCGATTACTGGTGAGGCCTGAGCAAAGACAAAAGAATAAATAGAAATTACCCAGGCTAGTGGCGGGAAATAGCTTTCCTGGAAGGGGTTACATTAAGAGCAGGGTCTGTAGACAAGAAACGTCTGAATTTAACAATAACTGTTTTACTTAAAATTAACAATGGATTTCCTTCATAAAGATGTACACACTTTCAGTTAATACTAGGTATATCATTGCAAGTTTCTTAACTTCTCTGTGCCTAAGTTTTCTCAATTATAACAGCAGCTCCTGTCACAGGGTTGTTAGGAGGATTAAGTGAATTAATGACATAAAGTGTTTAGATCAGTACCTGGCACACAGTAATCACTTCTAGACTCATCTGGAAATAAGCAGTTCTAGAAAAGATACTTTCATTATTTGAACCTATTCCATCCATGTGTTTTAACTATGGTGTTTTTACTGAAATTGCTCAAGAATAAACTATATGCTTAAACAGAATATTCACAATGATGTGATTATCAGATATTCTGAAGTTTTCATGTGGTTATTTTAGTATCAGGACATTTTTATGTCACCTATCCATTTAAACTCCTGGCTTTCTTTCTTTTTTCTTTTTTAAATTTTTTTAAGTTTATTTATGTTTGAGAGAGAGAGACAGAGACAGAGCATGGGAGGGTGGGGGGAGGCAGAAAGAAAGGGAGACAAAGAATCTGAAGCAGGCTCCAGGCTCTGAGCTGTTAGCACAGAGCCTGATGCTGGGCTCAAACCCATGAACTGTGAGACCATGGTCTGAGCCAAAGTGAGACGCTTAACCAACTGAGCCACCCAGGTGCCTCATGGCTGGCTTTCATTATTGAGAAATGTGCAAACCAGACATTTGCACTGTGGGGAGAAAATAGATCCAGATGAGGAGCTCAAGTATGAAGAAAGGGACAAACGTGTCAGGGCAAATGCTTTGACAGTTTAAAAAAATCAAAGTCCTATTGCTTTGAAGGCATTATATCAGCTCCAGCATTTCAACCACATACAATGCCCTGTTTTTCTTAATGTCTTGGGGCATTATTCTGAACAGTTTTCATATTGTGCTAGAGATGTGGGTATAGTTACAAATAGTGTTGACTGAAGGCCAAAGACCTTAGCTTGACTCTTTAATAATTTAAATAACAACCTGATGAAATTCATTTCTGGCTGACAAGCCTTCAGCAGTTTGCACACTGATGTCCTGCTGGGTCTCTGATGGGTATTCCACCTCGTGGCTTCCTTTCTGTTCGAGGTTTGAGGCTTGTCTTGGGCTCTGAGGTCAGAAGATCTGTGAGAGTCTCAGCTCCATGTGACCTTTAATAGCCATGTTATCTATGGCAAGAAACAGCATTCTGTGTTTCATGTTTCTCCTCTCTAAAGTGAGCATACCAAGAGTTGCCAGCTCATAGAATTATAGCAAGAAGTAAATGAGATAAATAATGAAATCCTGCAAAATGCATAGCACAACAAGAGCCTTTAATAGGCTATTTGCTACATCCCCTAGTCCCCCAGCACACTGCGGCACTATTTTATAGTGATAACTCCTAACAGAAGTTAGCTTTTATTTGGAACAGTGTATAACAGAATGCATTGTAACTCTAGGGTCTATCCACCAAGAAGCTTAGTTACTCAAAGAACCATAAAAATATCAGATAAGATATTCTTGTGTTGCCAGCCCGTAGGCCAACTGCCATCTAGGTAACATAGATTGGTGAGCAATAGAATGGAGTGACCACAAAAATAAACAGAAGATGAGACTAGATTAATGGTATAATCAGTTTTACATAGTTCCTCACCATAGTCCGTGCTTTTGCCAATTAATTAAAAAAACATTTTTTTTCCTTACCCTTTTAAGTAGTAGTTAAAAAACAAATGCTGGGTTTTTGTCACTGGTTTTGTTTTTGTTAGCCAAATGCTTCTCAGGGTATAATCAGTAGAGCAAAGTTAAGAGACTAAATTGCAAAAGAAAATTTCTACCTGCCAGGCTTCTAGGTCTAGCTGTGTTGAAATTAAGATTAAAACGTTCTTTTTTCCATGTTGACATATAGATTACAAAACCAGCTCTGATGTAAAAACACATAGTTCTTTCATGATCCTTGCATGCAAACGTTTCTTTGTAACTCTTAATGATGCAGATATTTGTCTTATTTTTAAAGGTGAAAGCAGAAATTGGAGATGTTAGTATTTTAGTAAATAATGCTGGTGTAGTCTACACATCGGATTTGTTTGCTACACAAGACTCCCAAATTGAAAAGACTTTTGAAGTTAATATACTTGCACATTTCTGGGTAGGTATGACTTCTTTTATGAGAACATTCCCTTTTATAAAACCCAAAGATTATGTTTAAAGTCAGCAGACATAAAGATGTATCAAATCAATACTGAAGTTTTCTCTAGGCACTAAGGAAAACATCATACAAAGAGGTCATGTTTGAGGGTGCCTGGCTGGTGCCAGAGGAAAAGCATGCAACTCTTGATCTCAGGGTCATGAGTTCGATCCCCACATTGGGTGTAGAGATTATTAAAAAAATAAACTTTAAAACAAAAGTCAATTTTATTTTTTTTTTCATTTTTTAATGTTTATTCATTTTTGAGAGAAGGGGGGAGGGGCAGAGAAAGGAAGAGACACAGAATCAGAAGCAGGCTCCAGGCTCCAGGCTCTGAGCAAGCAGTACAGGGCCCAACACAGGGACTCAAACCCACAAACTGCAAGATCATGACCTGAGCCAAAGTTGGATGCTAAGCCAACAGAGCCACCCAGGTGCCCCCAAAAAAGTCAATTCTCTTTCCTTTTTTTTTTTTTTTAGTTATTTTTGAGACAGAGAGAGACAGAGCATGAGCAAGGGAGAGGCAGAGAGAGAGGGAGACATGAATCTGAAACAGGCTCCAGGCTCTGAGCTGTCAGCACAGAGCCCGATGTGGGGCTTGAACCTGCAAACTGTGAGATCATGACCTGAGCTGAAGCTGGACGCTCAACTGACTGAGCCATCCAGGCACCCCTCCTTTTTTTTTTTTTTTTTAAATGTTTATTTATTTTTGAGAGAGAGACAGAGCATGAGCAGGGAAGGGACAGAAAGAGAGAGGGAGACACAGACTCTGAAGCAAGCTCCAGCTCTGAGCTGTCAGCACAGAGCCTGCCACGGAGCTCAAACCCACAAACCATGAGATATGACCTGAGCCAAAGTTGGATGCTCAACCGAATGAGCCACCCAGATGCCCCCAGGAAGTCAATTTTCATGCTGTGGCCAAATCTCATCAACCATTCTCCCTTCCTCCTTAAAAAATTAATAATAATAATTAATAATAAACTTCAGGTGTTATATATGTTTTAATTTTAAACTGGATTCTTAAAAAAATAAAAAATATCACATCTCTGTGTGATCTTGTTTATGAAAGAAGGGATTAGGGGTTACCCAAGTCCCCTTCTGTGGTTCCATTAGAGATGAGCCCAGTTTGCTTTCAGATTCTCATGAGACTCGGGCCTTGAGTATTTTCTGGCCCCAGAGTTGCAAGCTTTATTATAAATCTCACCATTTGAGGTCTGTATATTACGTAGAGAGAGAAAGAAAGAGAATTTCTGAAGAGGCTAAAAATTGTCCAAATAGCCCAATCCTGAAAGGGCCCCTCAAAGATTTCTTAGATGTGAGTTTGGGATACATAATCTCAAAAGAATGTTGAGTTGGTAAAAATGCAGTATTATTTTATGTCAGCATTCCCAAGTTATTGACATATATCTTCGTATTTTGATAACTTACAACTTTGCCTGTCTTTCTGCCTCCGTTAAAATGTGAGGCATTGTCTTAATTGTTTTTGAATCCTCATTACATAGTAGGTGCTCAGCAAATATTTGTTGTATTTGGTGACTACAAGAAGATTGCTGTTCACTTCAGTATTTTGGTAAATGACGTGACCAAACCATTTTCCAACAATTTTACATTGCATATAAATTCTTCGGATAACTCTAGATTATTGTATCTAGTCAATATATGAGATGATCCATTTGCCTTTTGTGGCTACATTTGGCAGTTAATCTAGATTTTTTTCCCTTTATACTAGGAAAAATGTTAATAAAATATAGCTTTGTCTGGAAACCTTCCCAATGGGTCTGCAAATCAGAAATAACCACATACCGTTCTCTCTTCATCAACACTATTTCTAGACGACAAAAGCATTTCTTCCAGAGATGATGAAGAATAATCACGGTCATATTGTCACTGTGGCTTCAGCAGCTGGGCATACCGGGGTCCCCTTCTTACTGGCCTATTGGTAAGTGGGCATGTGTTTCCTTAGTTTGTTCCTACGCTTAACTTGTGTGTGATTTCTTACCCTAATGAAAACCACCGTTAATAATGATAAAGTTGAAGTTGCTGAAATAGTCAGCTGCACAGTCTCTTGTACCATAGCTTTATTGATCATTAATCCCCTCCAGGCTGACCATTCTAGAGGTGGCTGCAGGGAAGTCATCCAATTAGAAGACAGCTCTTAAAGCAGTTCTCCTCCCTTGTAGGAGCAAGAAATTCTAAAACAAGAGTAATCTTTCTGTACCATGAATAAAAGTTAATAATTTTAAATAAAGTAATTTTGTGGAAGTAAAACAGCATAAAGAGAAAGTATAATCCGGGATTCTAAATATTGAAAGCATCCAAACAGTGGAATTGTTGTAAAAAATATATATATAACAGCTATCCATTTAAAACTCCCTGCCACTGTAATAACTGTAGAACTTAACTGTCGCAAGCAGGGCACAGTAATGGTATGCTCCACTGTATACTGTAAAGACAATTCTTTACAGTATAGTGAGGCAACCGTAGCCAACAGGAACCTACTGGTTGCACATACCTCAACAATGCTTGGTCAATTTCTGTTTTTGCAAACAATAACTTAAAATGTTGAATTATTGTACAAATAAATACACATACACATAATGCTCAAATTTGTTTTCTACCCTTGTGCTCTTTTGGAATTGAGTATCTAAATTCTAGAAACAACAGATATAGCTGTATGCATACATACATAAGTATGTATACACATGTATATGAAAGATACATATCTTGTGTTTAAAAGTTTGCGAGGATATATACCAAGCCAGTTTACTCTAACCACACCTAGAGAGTGGTTATTCTTTGGTAATGACAAGGAATTTTATTTTCTTCATTTATATTTTTCTCCCTTCCCTTCCTTTTCCTTTTCCTTTCCTTTCTTTTTTTTCCCCTTCATAGTTTATTGTCAAGTTGGTTTTCATATAACACCCAGTGCTCATCCCAAGTGCCCTCCTCCATGTCCATCACCCCCCTTCCACTCTCCCCCACCCCTATCAGCCCTCAGTTTGTTCTCAGCATTCAAGAGTCTCTCATGGTTTGCCTCCCTCCCTCTCCCAACTTTTTTTTTCCCCTTCTCCTCCCCCATGGTCCTCCATTAAGTTTTTCCTAACTCACCTATACATGAAAACATATGTTATCTGTCCTTTGCCTGACTTATTTCTCTCAGCTTAACACCCTCGAGTTCCATCCATATTACTACAAATGGCCAGATTTCATTCTTATTGCCATGTACTATTCCATTGTATAGATAAACCACATCTTCTTGATCCATTCGTCTTTTGATGAACATTTAGGTTCTTCCATGATTTGTCTATTGTTGAGAGTGCTTCTATGAACATTGGGGTACATGTGCCCCGATGCATCAGCACTCTTGTATTCCTTGGCTAAAATGAACAAATCAGGAGACTCTAGATGCTGGCAAGGATGTGGAGAAATGGGCACCCTCCTACACTGTTGGTGGGAATGTAAACTGGTACAGCCCCTCTGAAAAACAGTGTGAAAGTTCCTCAAAAAATTAACAATAGAACTCCCCTATGACCCAGCAATAACACTGCTAGGAATTTATCCTCCTCTTTCTTAACATATATTTGTTTTCTAGTAGTTTTTAAAATGGGATGCCTGGGTGGCTCAGTTGGTTGAACATCTGACTCTTGGTTTCGGCTCAGTCGAGATATCACGTTTCATGAGTTCAAGCCTTGCATTGGGCTCTGCACTGGCAGTTCAAAGCCTGCTTCAGATTCTCTCTCTCTCTCTCTCTCTCTCTGCCTCTTCCCTGCTCATTCTCTCTGTCTTTCTTGAAATGAATAAATAACTTAAAAAGATTTTTTTTAATAAATGTTTTTATTTATTTTTGAGAGAGAGAGAGAGACAGCGTGAGCAGGGAAGGGTAAGAGAGAGAAGGAGACACAGAATCCGAAGACAGGCTCCAGGCTCTGAGCTAGCTGTCAGCACAGAGCCGAACATGGGGCTCGAACCCACGAACCATGAGATCATGACCTGAGCCGAAGTCAGACGCTCAACCGACTGAGCCACCCAGGTGCCCCTAAAAAGATTTTATTTTAAATGAACATAGACTTGTATTGAGTTTTGGGGGTTTTGAGGGGGCTTTTTGTTTGTTTTTTAAGACAAAATAGCTGTTGAAGCAATTACAGAACAGATGTGTGATCCAGATTGTGTATTGTCTCTTTCAAAGCCAGTTTAGGTTAGGTGATTGTCCCCTGGCCATCAAAGGCTCACATCATCATTATTTCACTTGATGAAAGATAGCTGCAGGTGTTGGTGCTCAGTGGCTACACGAAATTCTACTTCTCTGCCAGATTTTTAGTCGCCAGGCATTGAGGTAACTCAAGAAAATCAGAGAATCCAGTAGGGCTTGAACGCTGTCATGCTTCCTCCTCTTTACCATGGTGAGTACTGTAACTCTTGATTCTAATTTGATTCTACTCCACTGAGTGTTTAGCTGTGAAAACCAGGAGAAAACATGTTTTATCTGAGAAACTATGAATAGTGCTTTCAGTAGAAGTAAAAGTTCTCATCACCTGTTGTCAAAGCAGGAACAACACACACAGTTGCGCAGATTGCACACTACACAATTCAAGAGGGCACTGCGTATTCGGGTCCATTTAAACTTAAAAGACCTTCCAGGAGATGGCAGTAAAGCAGCTCGAGAAGAGGAGTAGGTTTTTCTGATTCACACAAAGGCCCCCTTGGGCTGGAAGACAGGGTTGCAACCACACAAGTGGTTTGTACGCTGCAAGCTCTGGTATAGATGTGCTGTTGGCGTGCCTTGCGGGACATTTTGGACCCTCAGCCACAAACAGCTGAGCTTCCTCAGTCTGTGATCCTTAGTGCCCATAATGGTCTTCAGTTCAGTCGACTCTTATTTTTGCTCAGGATCTGATCGATGGTAGAGTTTTCCACAGAAACACACTGAAGACTCCTGGCAGAAAACAGTGTTTATTGGTGGTTATTAACAATTGGCCAATTCAACTGAGATACTGCTTTTTAAAACATAAACTTCTTTTATTGAAGTATAAATGTACATTTATAAAAATGCAGAAATCATAAATGTACAGCTCAGTGAGTTACTGTAAAATGGACACTCCTATTTAACCACCATGCAGGTCAAAAAATAGGACAAGGCCTTAAAAGCACCTTCTAGAACTCTTCCCAAGCACCAGTGTCTCCTTCTCAATGGTAACCCGTCCATTGACTTGTATTACCACAGATTAATTTTGGCAGTTTTTGATCTTCATATACATGAAATCACACTATGTTTGTGAACTTTATCCTTGTTGTTGGTAGCTACAGCTTAGTCATTTCCATACCTGCACAGTATTGCATCATGACCAGACAATGATTTATTTATCCATACTACTGTTTACATTTGGGTTGTTTGCAGGATGGGATGATGAATCTTGATTCAATCGCTTACTGACTTTATGTCACCTTTGGCAAGCTACTCAACTTCTCTTATGCTTCATTTTGTTCTCCCGTAAGATGGGCTAACAACAGCTTTCCCGTCTGCGCTCGCGGAGAAGCAGGGCTTTCGGAGAGATATCCCACCTCTAACTGTGGGGCTTTCCTTGGACTGGTGGCCTCGGTCTGGCACTGGACAGTGGAAGTTCCCTACGGGTTAGGTGGTACCCCAGGGATGCGGTCGGCATCAGGAGGAACCAGTTCCCTGCCCTGAAGTGCCTTGGCTTGTGGGATTGCAAGTTGGGTGGCGTCATTAACAACGCACGGAGTGAGGGCGTGAGGCACGAGAGACGGCCCGCCTCCTCTGCGCCTGTGGCACAGGCTACTTCAAGGAACAAACTTAAAGTGCACATGGTGGAGAGTTCAAAACATCACTACGAGTAGAGAAATAAAATAAAACCAAAGTCACAAGAGAGACCAAGGGACACCCTTCAAAAGAAGACTTCCTGAACGGCCAGGCCCTGGACAGTGTATGAGCCTCCTTTAATATTAATATAGCAGCACTCACAGGGGCAGAACACATCACAAGCTTTTAAAACTAACGAGAAAGAAAGCTAGCCAAAATGACAAAACGGAAGAACTCTCCTCTAAAGAAATTCGAGGGAGAAATAACAGCTAGAGAACTGCTCAAAACCGATCTAAGCAACATAACTGAACAAGAATTTAGAATAATACTCATAAAATTACTCATTGGGCTTCAAAAGGGCTTGGATGACATCCGAGCCATTATTGTTGCAAATACTGATGAACTAAAAAATGCAACACAAAATAAAATGGAGGCGTTGGCTACTGCACGGATTGAAAAGGCAGAAAAAATACGTGAATTAGAAGATACAATTATAGAGAAAGAGGAAGCCGAGAAAAAGAGAGAGAAATTGGTCCAGGAACATGAAAGGAGAGTTCGAAAGCTGAGTGATACAATCAAACGGAAGAATATCCATATCATAGGAATTCCAGAAGAAGAGAGAGAGAAAGGAGCAGAAGGTGTACTTGAACAAATAATACCTGAGAACTTCCCCAACCTGGGAAAGGAAACAGATATTGAAATCCAAGAGGCACAGAGAACTCCCCACAGACGTAAACTGAATCGATCTGCACGACATACAGTGAAACTGGCAAAATACAAGGACAAAGAGAGAATTCTGAAAGCAGTTAGGGATAAAAGGGCCCCACATACAAAGGGAGACATATCAGGGTAGTAGCAGACCTATCTACTGACACTTGGAAGGCCAGAAAGGAATGGCAGGAAATCTTCAGTGTGATGAACAGGAAAAATATACAGCCAAGAAGCCTTTATCCAGCAAGCCTATCATTCCGAATTGAAGGAGAGATCAAGGTTTACCCCAACAAAAAATGGAGGAATTCATCATCACTAAACCAGCCCTACAAGAGATCCTATGAGGGAAATGTTGCAAGGAACACAAAGTCCCAGAGACACCACTACAAGCATGAATCTAACAGAGAACACAATAACTCTAAACCCGTATTTTTCAATAATAATACTGAATGTAAATGGACTAAATGCTCCAATCAAAAGACAGAGTAGCAGAATGGATTAAAAAAATGAGATCCATCTATTTGCTGTTTACAAGAGACCCATTTTAGACCTGAGGACACATTCAGATTGAAAGTGAGGAGATGGGAAAACATCTATCGTGCTACTGGACATCAAAAAGAAAGCTGGAGTAGCCATATTTATATCAGACAAACTGGACTTTAAAATAAAAAATAAAGGCAGTAACAAGAGATGAAGAAGGGCATTATATAATAATTTCAGGGTCTATCCATCAGGAAGAGCTAACAAGTATAAATGTCTATGCACTGAATTCAGAAACACCCAAATACATAAGACAATCACAAACATCGATAAGAATGTGCTAATAGCCAAATATGGAAAGAGCCTAAGTGTTCAACTGATGAATGGATCAAGAAAATGCAGTTTATATATACAATGGAATACTACATGGCAATGAAAAAGAATGAAATCTGCCATTTGTAGCAACGTGGATGAAACTCAAGGGTATTATCCTAAGTGAAATATGTCAGGCAGAGAAAGATACCATAAGTTTTCATTCATGTGGAACTGGAGAAACTTAACAGAGGACCATAGGGGAGGGGAAGGGGGAAAAACAGTTGGGGGAGAGGGAGGGATGCAAACCATGAGAGACTCTTGAATACTGAGAACAAACTGAGGACTGATGGGGGGGAGGGGAAGGGGGTTGTTGGCATGGGGAAGGGCACTTGTTGGAATGAGCACTGGATGTTATATGGAAATCAACTTGACAATAAACTATATTAAAAATATGTATCAGAAAAAAAAAAAAGATGGGCTAACAACAGCAACTAAACTAAATCATCAAGGTGCCATAAAGCTTAAGTTGTATAATATAATGAATGCACTTAGCATAGAATCTGGAATCCTATAAGTGTTCGATAACAGGTGTTACATTCCAACTCTATTTTCCTATAACCACACAAAATAGTAAAGTCCCACCTCTCTTTTTAGCTTCCAGAATGTTTTGCCTCAGTGGAACTAATCATATACGCTCTGGCTCCCAAGTGTTACAGTGAAATGAGAGGCATCTTTTCCTGGTTCTTTTCCCTGTAATCCAGCCTATAGCTGTCACTGTCCTGAATGGCTACTTCCACAGTAAAAGAAATTACTATAGCTCTAATCACCTATATTGGGGAAAAAAGTTTGAATTTCTTTTGGAGTTACGGTTCAACAGTTTTTTTTTTTTTAACATTTATTTATTTTTAAGAGACAGGTGGGGCCCTGGGTGGTTCAGTTGGTTAATGTCCAACTTCGGTTCAGGTCATGACCTCACGGTTCGTGGGTTCCAGCCCCACATCGGGCTCTGTGCTGACAGCTAGCTCAGAGCCTGGAGCCTGCTTCAGATTCTATGTCTCCCTCTCTCTCTGACCCTCTGCTGCTCATGCTGTCTCCTCTCAGAAATAAATAAAACATTAAAAAAATATGTTTTTGAGAGACAGAGAGAGACAGATCATGAGCAGAGGAGGGGTATAGAGAGAGGGACACACAGAATTGGAAGCAGGCTCCAGCCTCTGAGCTGTCAGAACAAAGCCCAACACGGGGCTTGAACCCATGAGCTGTGAGATCATGACCTGAGCCAAAGTCGGACTTTCAACCGACTGAGCCACCCAGGCTCCCCCTACTTAATCTTTTTAATGTATTGTTGAAGTGTGGTGTGCTAATATTTTGTTGAGGACTTCTGCATGTATGTTCCTTACTTGTTTGTTAAATCTGCCATATGCCAATCCGGAGTGGACTGCCTCTTCCTTTGCTTTCTCTCCGCCCTCTGTGTGCAGGGAGTGCGGAGACAGTTTCAGATTGTGCCCAAGGGGCTCCCGAGATTGCAAACCAACAATCCCCACGGTGCTTCAGTTTCCTTTTCGGTAAATGGGGATCATAGGAATACGTATTTCAAAGAGTTGTTGTGAGGATTAAATGCAGCAGTACATTGGAATAACTCAGGACAGTGCCTGACATGTAGTGATCAGTTTTACATATGATTATTTTTGTGCTGTTTTCCAAGTTAAGATTTACATTTTTTATGAGTGAATCTAGCAATCTTGTCTTTTAAGCCTTCGGTATATGTCTAAGTTTTAAAAAAAAAAAAAGTTGAAAGAGAACCTTCCACAGCTTTATATTTTCCAAAACACAGGTTAATTGGCAAGAATTTACAGCTACTTTGTATAATTGCTAATAAATACCGACTTAAAGAAAAATAATCTAGTAATTGATGGCACTGAATTTCACATTTAAAAATGGTTAAAATGGCAAATTTTATGTTAGGTATATATTCACACAATTTTATAAAAAGATTTTTTTAATGTTTATTCATTTTTTTGAGACAGAGAGAGATAGACAGTGAGCAGGGGATGGGCAGAGAGATGGGGAGACACAGAATCTGAAGCAGGCTTCAGACTCTGAACTAGCTGTCAGCACGGAGCCCAATGCGGAGCTTGAACCCACGAACCCTGAGATCATGACCTGAGCCAAAGTCGGACACTTAACTGACTGAACCACTCAGGCACCCCTTTTTTCACAATTTTTAAAAGTCAGTAATATTCCAAAAACTACTGAATTATATACTTCAAGTGGGAGAATTATATGATACATGAAATTATTTCTCAATAAAGCTGGTTTAAAAAAAAACTAACTGGAAAAGTACTGTCTGCTTATATTATTATTAATTTGCTTTCTCTTGGCAAATGAAGGAGCTGTGACAATAAGAATTGCTTTGCATTTTGATTCATTCATTTGACAAATATTTTTTGAGCAACTATTATAAGCCAAGCACTGTGCTAGGCCCTGGAGATTCATTGGAAACCAAAATAGTCACAAAGCTTATAGTACAAGTTTGAGGGACAGATGTTTAAAAAAAATTCACCCAAATGAGTATTTAATCACAAATCTTAAACAGGCTGTCATGAAAAACTGAAGATTATTACATAATGGAAATAATTTAGACTAAGGGTCAGGAAAGGCCTCTTTGAGGAAATGAAGCGGAGGCTGGAAGGGAAAATGGGACTCGTCCAGGAGAATTCAAGACCTTTTAACCCACTCAGTTCTCACTCCAATAAGTGTTCTGTGTCAATGCTTCTTAGACTTCAATGCCTTTAAATTTACCTGAGGATCTATAATGCACATTCTGATTTGTCTGGGCTGGACACTGAGACTCAGCTGATGGCCATGGGGCTCAGCAGAGTATCACACTTAACTAGAGAAAACAGACATCTGAATTCAATAGATAACTTGGCTTTCTCGAATTGTCTTCTGGCCTCTCTCTATTTCCAGTTCAAGCAAGTTTGCTGCTGTTGGATTTCATAGAGCTTTGACTGAAGAACTGGCTGCCTTAGAAAGAACTGGAATCAAAACAACATGTCTCTGCCCTAATTTCATAAACACTGGCTTCATCAAAAACGCAAGTACCAGGTAAGTTGAGATAGAAACGAAGACAAAAGGACTGGTGATTGCTATGAATATCAGCCATTCCGTGGGTTTTCTTAACTATTTTAATCCTTAAAACACCTGATATTCAATTCCCTTAGCTCATCTCAATTTCAGCTCCTGTAGATTGTGAGATGGCAGGTGGCGAGGCAAAGAGAGGGAGAGAATGTATGTAAACATAAATATAAGGAACTCTGGTGAACTTGCTAATCCTCCTTTTTTTCTTTTCCTGAGCAATGGATTTCTGACTTAAGTATACGTACCTTTTCCCAGGGGTGCTTGGGAACCACATAGAGGTCCCACTCCCAGAGATACTGATTGCTTGGGTTTGGCTGGGAGAGGGTAGTGGTGGGGAAGGGGTCTTGAAACTCTGTTGAACAAGCATCATAGGTAATCCAGAGATTATCCTCCATAGTGAGCACTAGTCTTTACTTAGTTGAAAAATAATACTATATGGTGCACCTGGATGGCTCGGTATCCGACTTCAGCTTAGGTCATGATCTCATGGTTTGTGAGTTGAAACCCCACATCGGGCTCTCTGCTGTCAGCTCAGAGACCCCTTTGTTCGGATCCTTTACCTCTCTGTCTGCTCTTCCCCTGTGTGCGTTCTCTCTCTCTCTCTCTCTCTCTCAAAAATAAATAAATATTTTTTAAAAACTATAAAACTATAAAGGATCAGCTCAGAGGTTAATTTTTTTTTAAGTTTATTTATTTATCTTGAGAGAGACAGAGACAGCATGAGTAAGGATGGGTAGAGAGTTTGAGAGATAATCCCAAGCAGGCTCGGAGCTACCAGCATAGAGCCTGATGTGAGGCTCAAACCCATGAGGCCATGAGATCATGACTTGGGCCGAAACCAAGAGTCAGATGCTTAACCAATTGAGCCACCCAGGTGTTCCTGAAGTTCATTTTTAATGTTTCCCCTCTTTGGGAATAGTTTTAATAATCTTTGTAAACATGATGCATAATTTAAAAACCAGCATACAGGGGCGCCTGGGTGGCTTAGTCAGTTAAGCGTCCGACTTTCACTTAGGTCGTGACCTCGTGGTTCGTGGGTTCGAGCCCCGTGTCCGGCTCTGTGCTGACTGCCAGCTCGGGCTCTGTGCTGCCAGCTCGGAGCCTGGAGCCTGTTTCGGAGTCTGTGACTCCCTCTCTCTCTGACCCTCCCCTGCTCACGCTGTCTCTCTCTCTCTCTCTCCTAGAAATAAATAAAACATTAAAACAAATTTTTAAAAACCAGCATACAGAAAAATATGTATAAGAAAATTTCTTTTTAAATTTCCTTGAAACCTTCTATCCACTGCAAACTACTCTTAATGTTTTGATGAACATCCTTCTGGACATCTCTCTATGTACAGCTTAAATGTCTAAATTTTATGTAACTGGCATATATTACACATGGGATTCTGAAAACTGTAAGTAAACTACTTACTTCCCTCAGCATTATGTCATGGACATCATTTCATGTCACTAATAACAGAGCTTTATCATAAATTGTGTTGGTTACTTAGTCTGAAGAGTAGTATCTATTAGTGATTTTAATGAACATCCTAGTGATGACGTTTTGGGGTGATGGGGGTTCATGGGGTCCAGAGTCGACCACCAAGAAAGAATTCTTGAAGACATCTTTGGTGCAAAGATGGTGACTTTATTAAGCATGGGGACAGGACCTATGAGCAGGAATAGCTGCATGGGGTCATGACAGGCAACTCATTATAACCCTCAGGTTGGGAGGGGGTCAAGCATAGAGTAACTCTCTAAGGAATTTTGGAAGCAAGGTTTCCAGGACCTTGAGGGGCTAGCTGTTTCTAGGGAAACATGACTTACTACCATTTAATAAAACCCCAGTCATGAGACCTTCCGATGTATATCAGGGGGCCATAAGCTTGGAGGATGATTACCAAAATATATCTTGAGGCAGTTGAGATAAAGGAAGTAGACTTACAGGATCCTTGAGGTTGGGACAGTGTTAAGCCAAGGTTCTCTTTTGCCCCTAGCAAACTGTCATCATACAGGCAGCTGAGCCCCTATAGAGGGAGGTCACTCTGCTGGTTTGAATGACTTGTCAGTGGGTTGCAGGCAGTAAAGGAATTTAGTCTTTCATTTGCCTTAGTTTCCCACGTCACCATGGCAAGCACTTTTCTCTGTTCTTAGGTAGCCAGGAGTTTCTGAGGAATATCACACATATTCCACTTGGGGAGTGGGGAGGGTGCCAGCCTGTATTTTGCCCTCAGCTTGCCCCAAGCTCCCTCATCACCAGTGCACACATATTTTCACATTTTGGTAGTATCTCCTTCAGGTAGATTTTAGAAGAGGGATTACTGGGTCAAAGGGTATACACATTTTAAATATTCATACGTGCTGCACCAAACCTCCCCGGAAGTGTTGTGCCAATCTGCACCTGTGCCCACGGTGCAAGAAGAGTGCCACCACTTTTCTACTTCCTTACCAGCTTGCCTTCTGGTGACGTTCTGCCCTTTCCATACAGGAAGGGTCATCTTGGTTTCCTGATGACCTAGTAGCTAAATTAAAGTGTTTTGTTATGTTTTTTGGTAGTCAGGTTTCTTTTCTTTTTTTCTTTTTTTTAAGTTTATTTATTTATTTTGAGAGAGACAGACACAGCGTAAGCAGGGGAGGGGAGTCGGAGTGGGAGAGAGAGAATCCCAAGCAGGCTCCACACTGTCAGCACAGAGCCCGTGAACTGTGAGATCATGACCTGAGCCAAAACCAAGATTCAGATACTTAACCAACTGAGCCACCCAGGTGCCCCTTTTTAAAATTTTTTAAATGTTTATTTTTTGGTAGTTTGACTTCTTTTATTTTTTTAATTTTTAACATATTTATCTACTTTGAGGGAGAGAGAGACTGTGCAAATGAGAGAGGGGCAGAAGTGGGGAGATAGAATCCCAAGCAGGTTCCGTGCTATCAGCACAAAGCCTGACACAGGGCTCCATCCCCCCAAGCCATGAGATAATGATCTGAGCCGAAATCTAGAGCCAAATACCCAGCCGACTGAGCCATTCAGGCAACCCAGTAGTTTGGCTCCTTTTGTGAATTGCCTGTTTCATGACCTCTGCTCATCTTTTCTATTGAGCTATAGAGTTTTAAAATTAATATCTATGAATTCATTGTACATTCAAGACACTGTCTTCTATGTCATACACATTGCATATATTTTTCTCTAGTTTGCTATTTGCCTTTAAACTTCTTTTTATTTAGTTTTACATTAAAACTTCTCAGTTTATTTTCCATCATGGCCTAGAGGTTTGGTGAGTTGTTTATAAAGGTCTTTTTCAGCCCAAACTTATAACAATACCCACCTATATTTTTTCCTCTAGTACTTTTATGGTAAGATTTTCACATTTGGAGCCTTGCTCTACACAAATTTACTTTAAGAAATAAGGTCATGGTAGGGGTGCCTGGGTGGCTCAGTCGGTTGAGCCTCTGACTCTTGATTTCAGCTCAGGGCATGATCCTAGGGTCATGGGATTGAGCCCCGTGTCCCTGCTTGGGATTCTCTCTCTCTCTCTCTCTCTCTCTCTGCCTGTCTCCCCTGCTTGCACACTCTTCTCTCTCTTTCTAAAATTAAAAAAAAGACACTTTTTAGCTTGTTTTTTCCAAATAGTTTATGAATAATTTTGCATTATTTCTTAAATAATACATCATTTCCTTCACTGCTGTGAAATGTCATCTTTATGATAAATCTGCATACTTACTGGAATCTATTGTGCTGATAAGATTCAATTTTTATTTATTTATTTTCAAATGCTTATTTTTTAGAGAGATAGAGTGCAAGTGGGGGAAGGGCAGAGAGAGAGGGAGACACAGAATCTGAATCAGCCTCCAGGCTCTGAGCTGTTAGCACAGAGCCCAATGCGGGGCTTGAACTCACAAACCATGAGATCATGACCTGAGCTGAAGTCATATGCTTAACCGACTGAGCCACCGTGGTGCCCCTAAGATTCAGTTTTTAAATTTCATTCTGCCTTCTCATATTTTCTCCCTCTTTCCCCCAATTCATCTGGCTTTGGTAAAAATATATTTTAAATTAATGAAGAATATTTATTGTGGCACTTTGGGAAAATATCAGGTTCTATTTAAATATACCTTAACTGAAATATGTCTACCCACAGGTAGACAGAGTAGAAATCCAACATCAAGAAGAAATTTGGTAGCTATGCAAAGATCTAATGGCCTACAAAGAATCTGTCAAATTGTCCTAAAGGTCTATTTTTAAGATACAATTTTATTGGAAAGCAAAAGCATATTTATTTCAGAAGACCTAGTGTTTAAACATATCTGCATTAATCAAATAAACCCTAATTGGACTCTGAAAAGAAAACAAAAGACGAATTATTTCAGGGTCCTCAGGAGTAGAGCTGACCAGGAGAAGTAGAAAGAATATAAAACTTAATTAAACTGTCAAACAAGTACCGTATGATCTCACTTACGTGTGGAATCTAAAAAAGCCGGACTCATAAAAACACAGTAAAATGGTGGTTACTAGGGTCAGTGGGTGGGGAAACTGGGGAGATTATTGTTTTAGGATATAAATTTGTAATCAATAAATAACTCCTGGAGTTCTAATGTGCAGCATAGTGATTGTAGACAGCAATACTGTATTATAAACATCAAGGTGTCTAAGAGGCTAGATCTTAATTGTTCCCATCACACACACAAAAAATAATCATGTGATATGACAGAGGTGTTAGCTAATTCCAGAGTGGTAAACATATTGCAATATCTAATAGTATCAAATCAATACATTTTACACCTTAAACTTACATTTGATATGTGATGTGTCAATCGTGTCTCAATAGAACAAAGTTTTTAAAAAGAAATTCATTAAAATTAAAAGGGAATGTCAAAGGAAGAGATGAATACCATCCTCAAGGATAAGATTTGCCAGGGGCGCCTGGGTGGCTTAGTCGGTTAAGCGTCCGACTTTCGCTTAGGTCATGATCTCGCGGTTCGTGGGTTCGAGC